ACACCTCTTGTGCGGCTTTGGTTACGATCAATCGGTGCCCTAGTGTTATAAATCTGATTTTGACAGCCCCTTTTCATTCCAAACACTCCTATACCAATCCCAAGCCTCCCAAATATCTAGATCCGTCTATTCCTAAGCGATCCCAAACACCTTCTAGTGAAATTGTAGTTTTGATTCTCATTCTTGAACCTAGAATTATGTCTGATCATGCCTCCATCACAAGAGAAAAGATATAGGGTTGAGGAACCATAGAAAGAGATCGAGATTAAGTTTGATGAGACTACTCGATTTTAGACTCCAGAATTTGAAGAGTGATATTGGTGAGAGTTTTCTCATATGCCTGTGATGGTTGAGTGAGAAGTAGACTTCACTGAGGTAATTTCACCAATCGAGGGTTGACACACTTGTTCGATGCCCCGAAACCTTCTAATGACAGCATAGTGAGAGAATTTTGCACTCACATACATAACCCAGATCTCTAGAAAGACCACTTTATCACATATATTCGTGGAATTGACTGCATGTTTTCTACAATTCTCATTGCTACCACTCTTGGCCTTCCTAAGGCAAAAAAAATGCCCTTAGTGAAGTACTGATTAATTAGTTGCCTCCTCCCCGTTTTGTGGCTACTGGGTTATATGGTGTATAACATCTTGAACACTGGGTCACATTGAATTTCTTTTAAAAATACTTAAACCCAGACTATAGGATGTTGAACCTAATAGCTAATTACAACTTAAAATCGAAATATGAGAGGCCTAAGTCTGTATTCGAGATATGCATTTTCTGAGGAATAGGGCTAGATCAAGATTTAATTATGGTGAAATTTGTGTTTATTCGGTGAGCTTTTTTATAGGAGACAGTATCAGATAGTATTCCTTTTCGATCACTGATTACTTGCATCTACAAGGCAAGGGTGTTCTTTTTTTGCCTAGGGATAGAAATAGAACCCCTAGAGGCCTTTGAATTAAAGTACAATAAAGTAGAGCATGGCCCAGCCCAGACTAAGTAGTTGTTGTAGTGCCTAAGAGAGGAAAGGCGATGGAGGTCCCATATGCCGAGACTGGATCTCATGCACTACCAGTTCATTCAGAGGCTAATAGTTCTAGGCCACCACCAACTNAAAATGCCCTTAGTGAAGTACTGATTAATTAGTTGCCTCCTCCCCGTTTTGTGGCTACTGGGTTATATGGTGTATAACATCTTGAACACTGGGTCACATTGAATTTCTTTTAAAAATACTTAAACCCAGACTATAGGATGTTGAACCTAATAGCTAATTACAACTTAAAATCGAAATATGAGAGGCCTAAGTCTGTATTCGAGATATGCATTTTCTGAGGAATAGGGCTAGATCAAGATTTAATTATGATGAAATTTGTGTTTATTCGGTGAGCTTTTTTATAGGAGACAGTATCAGATAGTATTCCTTTTCGATCACTGATTACTTGCATGTACAAGACAAGGGTGTTCTTTTTTTGCCTAGGGATAGAAATAGAACCCCTAGAGGCCTTTGAATTAAAGTACAATAAAGTAGAGCACGGCCCAGCCCAGACTAAGTAGTTGTTGTACTGCCTAAGAGAAGAAAGGCGATGGAGGTCCCATATGCCGAGATTGGATCTCAT